CAAATCTCTTATATCACATTTCCTATGTATTTTTTATGAAGGTCATTTGCTCCTGTCGTACCGAATTCTGAGTAGTACTCGTACAACTGGAATATCGAAGAATAATGTGAAACACACGAAGAGTCTTTGAATTAAGCAAACCATGTTTGAAAGTAGATACCATTAACTTTTAACTGGTAAAGTATTAGCATAATGCCGTATTAATAATGTATATAGAGGATATTACTTGGTGGCTCGAAGATAGAAAGTTTATTTTCTAGTGGTGACATTTTTCAACACGAGAAGAAAACTTCATATCTTCAGGCCAACGTGTAATCTTTTTTTTATTATACAGAAACATTCACAAACAAAAAATTGTTGAAAACATTGGAAAAGACGTCATCGACATCTTCACTAGTAAGGATATCGATGACGCATTTTCCAATGTTTTGAAAAAAAGACTTGTTTGTGAATGTGTCTGCATGCATAAGAAAAAAGAAATTACATGTTGGCCTAAAGATATGACGCTTATCTAAAACAAATAGTCCACCATTTTACAAACATACAAAACATACATACAAAGTACATCCGGGACCTCAGTCACGTATTACCCATATCTTGACTAGTAAGGATATGCGAAATATGTCCCGGATGTTGTTCGTGTGAAAAATACGAGTGGCATATTTTATTTTATTTTATTTTTTATTTCTTATTTTATTTTTATATTTATTTATTTATTTATTTATTTTTTCCTAAGAATTAAAGCGAGCTGTTTCTGTGCGAGTATCCCCAGCTGAGAAAAAAAACATTAGCAACCAGCACTATAATTTATATATTCAGTAAAGTTCTGGTGTTCTGTCAATGAAGGTAACCAATAAATAATAAGATGGGGATTTCCGACCAACCCTAAATTACGCAGTCTGACTCGGTAACCAGAAGTTTGATAACGACGGAAGTAGATGCCATTCAATCGACTTGTTTTCTTTCTATGATCGGTTCGTGGTGCGTGCAGCAGTAAATGAAATTAGTCTGTCTAGTACTTTCTGGATCTTACCGTAAGTCATAATTACTCATTTTTTTTGATCAGGTATCGATTTTAGTAGTATAAAAAGAAAAAGAAAAAAACAACAACATGAGAGCGGTTTATCCGCAAGGCTTGTGGAAGGTATTACTTATTAGGAAGCGAGGTTTTGTCGAAAATTAGCTGCGTTATTCTTCAAAAATAGGTTTCTTCGAGGTACGAAAATAATTCGCTAAGGAATACTAAGTTAAGGGAAAACGAGAATACGAGAAAATACTCTAGTAGCAGAGAATTTGAAAAAAATGATGGGAAATGTTTGACATATTAAGAGCTTATGTCTGTAAGAGTCAAACATACGTCGGCAAGACTCGAATTTTCAAATGCTCTTTTTTTGTGGATTCAAGTAAAGTATGATGCAGAATGAAACGCTTTTGGTTAGTTAGRAAAAAAAAGTTGCTTTTGAGAAAAAGAGCAAAGAAAATGTGAGCTCCAGGGACGATTCTTGCTATGAAAATATGGCTACAGAATTGCTTGCGTACGCGTTGGCTTGGTTCGCATAGCAAAACTCTCATTCCAAATAGCCTTATAATACTTTCTATTCAAAATGCAGCTCTTCTTCTCTCATTAACGGTATCTAATTTTTTAATCTTTTTTTTATATCGGACAATTGAAAACATTTTGGCATATTAAAAACAAAGAACACTGGGCCGGGTTGTTCAAAGCTGGATTAGCGCTGATCCAGGATTAACTCTATAATAGGTCTTATTTAGTTAGTCCAGGATTAGCACTAATCGGACTTTGAACAACTGGGCCCTGAGTTACAATGCTCTTGAGTACATCCCAAAAACCGTACGTTTCATTAAGTGCCATCTCTCTTTTATCTTATAAAATCACAGTCAATAGCTATTGGAAAACTGCTCTTTTAAAAAATGTAGTTTTTATTTTAGGGAAATAATTGTGTGCTTTTTGCGATATATTTTGGCACCTTATATATGCAAAAATACTATGTTTTTCGAAATAAATTCGAAATAAATAAGTTGTTTGAAATAAATTCAATTGAAGGATTATTTCTCTTCAAATCTAGCCTCTAAACAGAAGAAACAACATAAATATACTAACTTTTAATACAAAAAAGTCCTTTCTCATGAGATATCAAGAATTTAGAATTCACAACCGTTAACGCTTGTTTACTGCCAAGTCTTTAAACTCCCTAAATACAACCTATCAAGTAACTCACCAGATAGCCCAACTTTCGTTGGTGTTTCTATTAAAGTGACCGGCCGGTTTTCGATAAGAACTATCCAGTTGACTAAACTCGATTTCTACAGTGTCCATACAAATGCATATTCCCCCTGCATATTTAACTAGGTCGTTACCCCCAAATCTTCCCTGGACAATGCATACTATGTAAAACAATACACTACTATGTTTGGTCACGTGACCACATGTAGCTCGCGCCCTCACCTATGGCGTCTCCTCGAAATTGCCTCTGTTTGAAAACTTGTATCTAGACTATCTTGCGTTATCTTATTCAAAAATCTATACTATTCCCTTAATGGAAAAGCTTGGTGTTTTGTCAGTTTGTATTATATGCATTAAAACAGGAGGGAAAGCGAGGACTATAAAACGCCTTAGTGGGGTTTCTGTGATCTGAACAAAGGCCCAAATGCATCCAAGGATACACAGAGTCAGATGTAGAATTAAAGGAAACTCGCCAGGTTACGAAATTTCGATYCTCTAAATATTTTGCTTTAATATTCTTATAAGTGGATATCGATATGTCATTGTCAAGTACAAAGCATAGTTTAGTAGATATGAAATGACAGTTCTGCGCCATGAGGAGCGAGGAGCCGGCGGAGCCAGGCTACCACCCCTCCCCCACGATTATCCGGAGCCGGCGAAACCAGGCCCCAGACCACCACCACTCCTCCCCCACAATTGTTACTGACTGCAAAATATAAATTTAGGGATAAACGAGGAGGGCTCTTTTCTAAAATCCTTGTTGAATCGCCATTCTGATGGGTTGATACTTCATCAGACGCTATATATTGTTTTGGAAATATATAAATTCATAATTTCATTCAGTTCGCATAGGGTTGATCTACCTTTGAGTATTCATTATTGCAAGAAATGATCGAATAAACTTAGGAACTTTTTTTCTACAACGATACGGCGGTACACGTACTTAGCGGTGAAACGTATTTACTCTACAAGAATTAAGGATAGACCGACTTTTTTTTCATTTGATTATTGTTTCCTTCAGAATGACAAAAGCCCCAACCCGGGAATTGTAAGAAATGTATACATGAACATGATAAGACCACTTGTTCAAGTAAGATTTGAAAAAAGTTGTGTTTTGAATTAATGAGGCTGTGAACTACTTTCACAACAAGGTTTTGATTGGATTACCTTACTTGGGCTGACAAGGTTAATCCCCTGTCAAATGTTTTTTGTTTAAACAGCGGGAAATAAAAGTGCTTCTAATCGTTTTCAATGATGACGGTTTTTTTGAGGAGTGGTGGTGGTCTGGCTCCGCCGGCTCCTAGCTCCTCATGGCACAGAACTGTCATTCCATATCTACTTAGTTTATTGTATGATCTGTTAATTTGGATTGCTAGCAGCTCAAACCAAAGGTAATACACTATGTTTTAAACTCGATGTTTGTGTGTCATTCATTGTTGGCCGCGTCGGCATCTTGTTCCGTCCAGGCCGTGGATTTAGATTTCGCGAGCGGAGGACCATACTTAAGAATATATGGTAAACCATGCAGTTGATTTTTCATGGCTCGGCTGACGTGATCACTTTCGTCCGTCCGTACGTCCTTGTACACAACACAGGGATCCCGCTTGATGTCAAAGCAAAACTACTCGCAAGTGCGGCTCTCTAATGCACAGAAAAAATCGCTTTAGTACAAATTATAGACCAGCAACAAATAAAAAAACTTTCAGGTAGTCAAAGATGGATCAAGTGTTCGTCTTTAAGAATTCAGGTGTGTGTTTTTTAGCATATTATTAGTTTTTATGACAAGCATTTTTTCGACGAATCGACAAATCAAATACTTTCTCTCAARACTTTTAATATTTCTATAGATAAGTTTAATTTATTTTACATATCATATATTACATATTACATATTACATATAGCATATAGCATAATACAACAAATATTCGTCCTTTATTTAGTTTTGTAAATCTTTAACAACGCGGTTGTTTTTAACCAACTATCGTATGATTTTCGTTCAAGAAAATTGCAGCTCTGTTTACCTCCTATCGCGGGTCCCATCGGCAAAACAAAGAAGACTTTCATTCAATGACTTTATATCTTCCTACAGATAATTTATTTAAATATTGATTCAAATATAAAATTACACCCAATATTCAACTGTTTATTAAGCTGTACATGTTCGAGCTAGTATGATTATACAAGTAAGCTTAAATTTGTGTTGTCGAGAGATGTTATTGTATAAAGACCTTATCTTTCACTTTAAAAGCTTAAAAAATATTCAAAAACATTTACAAATGCCAATTTACTGACGAAGGAATTCTTCTTTTTGTATTTTGCATTGCATTTTGCATTATTTTCTATTTTGTCCCAGTTGTTCTTGCAAGTTTAACTGAATGTAAACTTTGTTTTTCGAAACCTTTTGTCGTTCGTGCTTTCCGTATCGTCTCACACATGAAAACAGTTGGAAAAAAAGAAGAAGAAAAAAAAAAAAAAGAATTAAAATCGAATCTCAAAATCGACAACTATTTACAGCTTATGTTTTCAAGCTTATCGAAAAGTATTTAAGGCTTA